CAGGCCCGCCTGCCAATCCGGACTGGCCCCGCCCCTCGCGTCACCGCCCCGCACGGCCGACGGCCGGACCCGCACCCCAAGTTTTGGGAAGGCGGGGGTTCGGGCCAACCTGTCGGCTCGCGGGACCTGCCCTGGTGAGCGCGCCCCGCGCCTTCCAGGGGCCTACCCCCGCCTCACGCCCTCACCTGGAAAGCCTAGGGTTGGGTGGGGAAAGAGGGCTCCAAAGACAGGCAGCCCGCGCCCCGCGGACTGAAACTCCGAGCGTGTCAAACCGCAAGGCGAGCCCCAAACCTAAACCCCTCGCGGTCGTCCGTGAGAGACTGCCGGGGAAACCGGAGGACTCCGATGACCTTTCCTGGCCAGGCCCGTGCCGGACCGGGGCCTAGACGGGATCCGGGCGGTCCCTCAAGTACTGGGGACGGCAAGAAATGGTTCCATGGCGGGACAGGGGGCAACCTGGGCCAGGGAGGAGTCGGGAGGGTCTTGGTTCTCGTGGTGAAGTGCGCCGGGTCTCCTCGAGGTCCCATTCAAGTCTCGGGAAGCAGGAAATGCCTGGTGCGGGGCGGGGGCGGCACTGGGTCGCGAACCCGCGCCGCAGCCTCGGGCTGGGCTGACGTCCAGGCGCAGCCGAATACCTGAGCGCTGACCTCTCCAGACGCCGCTGGACTTTGCGGGCGGGGCGGGGCGCCAGCCACACCCGCCACGGGCAGGGGGACCCGGGGACCACCCACATTCAGCGCCCCCAAACGTAGCGCCCCTGCAGGCTCCCCAAAGCTCTGCATACCACGTTGACGCCAAGCGGCTGTTGACAGCATTTTGGGGCCCGAAGGTACACCGGATGGTCGCCCTGATGGTCCCGATTTGAAAGGCCCACGGCCGCCAGTCAGGCCCGCGTGCGCTCCAGGGAGGCAAGCCCTGCCCGAGGCGCACCCGAAAGACACGGCTGACCCCGTGAGGATTGACCCTTACCTCCGCTAGTTGAAAACCATTCCTTCCGGAGAGTCACAGTGAGGAATTAACACTCAACTCCAACTATTGCCTTTTTGTTGTTGTTTCAAAAGACGCTTACCAGGCAACCAAACTCAGAGCTAACAAAGTGTACGTTGGAGCTGGGTGCTGGTGGCTCACATCTGTAATCCTAGCTACTCAGAAGGCTGAGATTTGAGAGTCTCAAAGCCAGCCTGAGCAGGAAAGTCCATGAGATTCTTGTTCAATTAACCTCCTGAAAACCCAGAAGTGGTGCTGTGGCTCAAAGTAGTAGAGCCTTGAGCAAAAGAGCTCAGGGACAGTGCCCAGGCCCCAAGTTCAAGCACTATGACCAGTAACAACAAAAAAAAGTGTTAATTGTTGCTTGATGCTCAATCACAAGGGTGCAGCCCTCTACAAATGGGATTTCTGACTCAGTAGTTGTGGAAATGTTATGATTTTCAATCTTCAGACTTTTCTACTTTGATCACATGACTCTCCTAAGACCGTGAAACCTGTTTGTCTCTATATTCACAGAAAAGATATCTGGGGATGGGAAGGTGGCTCAGTGGTAGAGTGCTTGCTTTGCATGCATGAGGCCCTGGGTTCAATTCCTCAGCACCACATAAGCAGAAGAAAGAAAAAGAAAAGAAAAGATATCTGGAATGGTGCATCATATGGATTGTTAAAGATGGTTACCAGGTTTGGGATTGGAGTAGGGGAAAGAAGATAAATTTATACCCTTACTGATTGAGTTTTGTTTTTTCAGTTTTATATACTTTCATAATTTAGAAAGCTAGTAAAGCATCTTTGTTTTTGTTTTATTGTGGGGTTTGTTGTTTTCATTCTTATTGTTATTTTTAAGGTGTTGTACAGAGGGGTTACTGTTTCATGTTTTTTGTTGTATAGGGTGTTCTATCACTTGAGCTAGGCCCTAATCTTAATAAAAAAAATTTTGGTTATACTGGGAGTTGAATTCAAGCCTTCCTGCTTAGGCACTCTACCACTAAGCCACCTTCCAGCCCTTTGTTCACTTTTTTTTTTTTTTGCCAGTCCTGGGGCTTGAACTCAGGGCATGGTCACTGTCCCTGAGCCTCTTTGTGCTCAAGGCTAGCAATCTACCACTTGAGCCATAGTGCCACTTCTGCCTTTTTCTGTTTATGTGGTACCGAGGAATCAAACCCAGGGCTTCATGCATGCTACATAATTACTCTACCACTAAGTCATATTCCTAGCCCTCATTGGTTATTTCTGAAATAGGGTGTACTTTCTGCCCAGATGTATATCTGGGTTGCAAGCCCGCCTATTTCAATTTTCCTCATTGTACAGGAGGGTCTGGAATCAGAGACTTCTGCAGAATCTGCCGTTGCACCATGACCTCCTAACTTCAGCCTCCCAAGTAGTTAGCATTACGTGTGAGCCACAGCTCCTAATAAAACATTTTTAAGGAAACAAATTAGAGGCTGGGCGCCAATAGCTCACACCTGGAAGCCTAGTTATTCAGAAGACTAAGATAGGAGGGTCGAAGTTCCAAGCCTGCCCAGACAGGAAAGTCCAAGAAACTCTTCTCCAATTAACTACCAGAAAACCAGAAATGGAACTGTGGCTCAAAGTAGTAGTAGAGCTTGCCTTGAGTGAAAGAACTAAGGGACAAAGCCCAGGCCCTGAGTTTAAGCCCCATGACAAAGAAAGGACGGAAGGAAGGAAGGAAGGGAGGGAGGAAGGGAGGGAGGGAGGAAGAAAAGAAGGAAAAGAAAGGAAGGAGGAAGGAAAGAAAAAAAGGGAAGGAAGGAAAAAGGAGAGGGAGAGAAAGAAGTAAAAATTAAGAACAGTATAAATTAGTAATAAATTGAATCTGTTTCTTTAATTCTATGTCAAAATAATCGCATCCATGTTCGCTTTGGCTTAAAGGTCTGTTGGGTTTCTGCTTTGATCTTTAACTGTTTTAAGGGGACAACGCTGACATCTGAAGAAGATTTTGCTGTGCTATCAGGCTGGTATTTTTGTGTTGTTACTACTGTGTGTTTGAGTCTGTGTCTTCCTTGTAAATGCTCTAACAATAGCCACAGGCATGCTTTCTAGGACTGCCAGCCAAGGAGTTTTTAATCCAGGAACTGCTACAATGTCAGCTGGCAACCCACAGGGACATTATGCTTATGTCCTTCACAGCTGCCAAAGGCCGTCCAGGCCCTGAAATTAAAACATAAGGGCATTCTCTCCATGGTGCCATTAATTAGTGCAGCTGGAAGTGCATCCGCAACAGTTTACACTTGTGACTTGGAGAAATAATTCAGTGCTGGTTTCCACACTCACTTGGCTCCAGTCCTTTCTCTCAGATTATGACTGAGGTTCATCAGCAGGGAGAGATGTAGTATTCATTTATTCTACAAATGTGTGCTGATCACACATTTGTTGGAGATAGAGACTGGAGTAGTGGCTGTGGCAGACACATTCTTCACAATGTGCTTAACAATTAAAGGCACCACAGTTATGTAATTACAGTTAGGATGTGGGCCAAAGCATAGTGTAAGGTGGTAGGACCATTTGGGGAATCCAAGAGAAGTTCCTGGATGGTTCTGGTTACAGAAGGGCAAGTTGGGAGGTAGGTAGTATGTAGACCAAGCAAGGCATGGTATACCAGGTTATAATACATCAGAGCTTGAATGGTCACTGAAAAGCCCTTATAAGTGGGAATTGTATACTCACATTTGTGCTTTGCGTAAGTCACTCTGACCACAACGTGAAGTAGGAATAGAGAGGGAAGAGTGTGGCAGAGGACAGTTAGAAGGGTATCTGTATGGACTAAGCAGTAGAGTCAGTGGAGAGAAGCAGACATCAACAGTGCTTGGGTAATTGCTTAGATGTGGGGGAATCTAGGAAAATCTCAGATGCCTACTTCTTCAGCCAGATGGCAGTGGTGCCATTTTCTGAGTTGCCAAACCAGGGAAAAGAGGGTTGCATAAAGCCTGCCAAAGTTCAAGTTTGGTCAAGGCCAGTTTCAGTTACCTGTGAAATGACTTGGTAGAAGGGTTGAAGAGGGGTTGGTTGGAGGAGCTGATTCTCTGAGCAGAGTCTGGGGCTGGAGAAACTGGGTAGCTGTAGTAATGAAGGCACAGGAGCAAAGTCATCTCCTGGAAGAATGTAGAGTTAGACCAGAAGAGGGCCCAGGACTGAGTGCTGACGAACCCAGACAGGATTCTAAGGGCTAGACTAAGGCAAACTCTCACAGAGGAGGTGGAAGAGCAGTAGAGAGATAAAGAGAAAACTAGGAGCTTGGAGAGGTGAAGGTTGTAAAATTCAGAGAGCAAAAGTGCTATGAGGAGGCAGATGTCAACATACTCAAAACTTAATATTAAATAGTGTGCACTAGCCAGGCGCCTGTGGCTCACGCCTGGAATCCTAGCTACTGAGGAGGCTGAGATCTGAGGATCACAGTTCAAAGCCAGCCCAGGCAGCAAAGTCCATGAGACTCTTATCTCCAATAAACCACTAGAAAACCGGAAGTGGTGCCAAAGCCCAGAGTTCAAGCCCCACGACTGACCTAAATAAATAAATAAATAGTGTGCACTAACTTAGTGCCATTGGTATCACTGAGAGTGGTAAAGAGGTTGGCCCTAAGCTGGAGTTGATGGAGGAGTGAATCAATGAGAAGTGAAGAGTACACGCAATTCTTGAAAGTTTTGACCATGAAGAGTCAGAAAGCAAAAGCTATGGATTTATTCCAGTTTACATATCTTTATTGTCATTATTTTAGAATGGAAGATTTAGA